CGACGAATTGTGATTTTTCTCCCCGACGGGGGGGGGGGCCAGCTCTCCCTGACGGGGGCCATGGGTGGAGGGAATTATATTTAATTTTTTAGTCTAAAAGTGCCACTTCCGGTCATCTAGAATTGCCATTGACATAAAATTTCGTACCTCAACCATAATCATGGTGAGACTGAGGGATCTGGGTCCTCCATATCTAGATCTTACTCTCTGGGCTCCCTCGCTGCTGCCATTATATTGTCTTATTCATCATTAAACCATTCTGACACCTTTATTAATTACCGAACTCACCTTATAATAGCTGGAACACAAGCTATGTCGGGAGTCTTTGAAGTAAATGGGGACGCCACCGATGCCTCTGCTTCCGATAATGATATCCCAACATGGGCAGTCTTCAGTGCTCCGCAGTCATTCGCTCCATCCCCACACATCCCAACTGTTAATCCAATCTCCTGCAACTTTTCCACACACTGGTCCTTCTGCGCTGGAGACATTCTTGCAAACACCTTTGTAGCAGTTACTACCTACATATAATACAAAGGGAACACATCTTCCTTTTCATAGACTAACCACTGTTAAAACGCACTTATATACGGTATATTATATCACCTTTTCTATCCTTACTCACTCTGGCTGTTTACTTACGTTTACAGCTTAGCTGTTGCTTATCAAATTTGTATCTCTACAAGTAAATGGTAATTAATTACCGTATGTGTTGATGATGACGTAGCAACGTAAACATGATGATACCATGATACAATGATAAGCAAAACCTTAATACCTTTTCAAATTGTTCGGGATAATGTTCTCTCAATACTGCGAATGATTTACCGTCAACTGCATAACACATATCCAACGGCACGTCTGTAGATAATGAATCCATATTCACCTAAATGGAATGAACATAATAACCAACATTTACAAAATACTGAAAACATTACAAAATTATCAAATAACTTCTATTGTGTCATTTTGCTTCATAACTCTAAGCCTTACCTTAGTTTCGACGCAGTTAGTTTTGGTGACGTCATTTGCAAGCGTAAGCTGAATGTTTGCAGCATTATCTCGTGGTGTTTCGGCATGAACTTGGAATACTTGCTGATACGTGGTTACCAAGTTACATTTTCGCGCCACGCTTATAGCTGTTAGAATATTATCACCTGGAAGATAGCAACTGTATTTATAAAAAGTCGAGAAAACTGTTCTAAAAATGTTTACAAATCAATACG